ATGCTAGTTGTGATTTCATTCGTAAAGTGTTCGCCTCTTGCAGACGTTGAAAAAACCACATTTTTTTTGCATTGGTGATTGGTCACCGCTGTTCCCGAAACACACAACGTGTGTATCGTACACTGTATGAGAACGACTCGAAAAACGTATTCGTACTCCGTCATGTCCGATGTAAACACCCGGGGGTTTTTTCGTCTTTTCTCGGGAATTGTAAGACATTAGGTTGGTTTCCTTTTAACCACATGTTTGAAATAGGATAAGTAAACAATACAAAACATGACATTTTCGAGGATTTCAGGACCTAGTGCCCCTTTAAGCAGTATGACAACATACTGTACCACAAATTCGTCATGTATCCACTACCCAGCAAAAGGGCATATATGTGCACATGCCCTTATGCAATAGCGCGTAATGACCAAAATGTTCCCAGCAAAAGGGAATTTTGCAGCAAACTGCCTCTATTTTAATGAAATTTAAACATTTTTGTCAGAAATTACTACCAGTTGTTCCAAAACTTATGATTCATACATGTGACAAATTTCAAATTCGTACGATTTATATTACATGTACATGTCATGCAGGTGGGGAAACATTGGATTCATAATACACGCTGGGGAACAATGGAAAAAAAGTTTTAATGCAATTTTCTTGAAAATGATTTTAGCGTCAGAACGCTCATATGCCCTTCTGCTGGACACCCGACAAATTCATTGCTTACACGAAACTTGGTGTAAGTCTCAACCTGCATTACATGAAGTATTAGCCGGTATCCTTTTGTTCTTAAGAGTGTTGGGCTTAACAAATTTCTGCGCTTGTGAAATTGGCCCCAGGCATGTCAAAACGGCAGACAGCAATATGTTAATTCATGGGATCAGTGACTTCGCAAAATGTGTGGACAGAGATTTAGGTAAAATCCCCAAGGGAAATCCCTTGTTCATGAGCCCAGCCTAATTATCCCCGGGTTTCCCCCTCTAAATCCACACCAGGTCCTGTCCAGTCTGGAGTAGAGTTTAGCAATAAAAAGTTTATTGTCTGGCAGCTAGACGTGTGGTCCTGGAGATGGGCCTGGTATTAGGGCTTCATGTGTCTGCATGAACCATCCATGAATAAAATTAAAATGAGCACTTTTGTTGCTTCAAACGAACAAAATGCACAAATTACAAAAAAAAATGATGGACTATGTCTTTAAGAAACTTTCATCTTATGGACCCTTCAAAAAAGTTAGCACAATTTTTTTGCTGACAGCAGTGTTAAGGAGCGCCTAGAAATTGGCTACTGATTGTTTAATGTCATAGCCAAAACATGGCTGTTAACCCCACCATGCAAAAGAAAATAAATTAAAAATTATAAATGTGACATTGAGTCAATCAATTGTGCCCTCAGTACAAACTTCCTCTACTGCCTACATGCAAATGAATGCCTCCATTTTAAATGATACACATTTTACTATCAGTTTCAGGTAGTGAACAACACACGTACCGGTACATGTATTTGTACAACGTAAGTTGAAACTTTCAAATTTGAAGAAACTACAGGGTGAGTCAAAAAGAAAGTGAACTGAGAAAAAAAAATATTTAAAAATATGTAGCTTGCTCCATTTAATAAATATAATATAGTAATAAATAAGTTACCGGTACATGTACAATGCCGGTATTATCTGACTAGTAACTGTGAAAATTTCACGTTATTTGCGTTCTATGTTCTCAAGTTATGTCTATCTTAATACACAAAATCCAGCTGTCCACCAATGATCATTACTGTTCAAATACAATGAAACAAGAGCGTTTTCCTGCCTTCATGGATGAACTTCAATTTGCGCACACAAAAAAAGACAAAAATCACAGTCATTATTTTAGAAAACAAATTCTTCATATTCAAAACACTAAATCTGACAATACAAATCATTTTCTAATCTTGACAAAAATTGTAAAAATCCTAACGAGTGTTGACTTTCTTTTTGCTGCGGTGTTTATAAAAAAAAATGCATTGTTTGTACTTTTTTAAGCTACCTTTTTATTTTTTTTCAAGTATGGTAAGCATAGCCAGACATGCGTCTCAATTTTAATTAGAAAAAAATGTTCTCCCAGACTAAGCATAAGTTTGTAGAAGTTGGGTTCAACATTAGTTCTTTGACACAAACAATGTGACAAAAGTATGAATGACATCGCCTGTAAATTACAAACTTGACCAAATTTAGATAAAACAATAGTAGTGTAGTTCCAGTTTACTTCCTCTTTCCTTTGATTTCTATTCAGATTCCACAACTGCAATTTCCTTCCTGTAAAGTACGGTAGTATCAAATCAATGTGATAGCTAGCCAAGCTGAAGGACCCATACGTAGTCATAGTACAGACCTCAACATGAGCAACAAACACTGTCGTCAACTTGGCACTGTACCATGGACGTTCTACACAAGTAGGATGACTATGATCACATGCATTATATATAGTGGTGGTATTTCTCAAACTACATGTACATGTATGTTACTACATGTATGTACAGCCCCAAACCTAATTTTTTTGGGGGGGGGAGGAGAAAACAAAAACACAAAAAAAACATCAATTACTACAGTACCTTTGACTACACGCAGACGCCTCCATATGAGCGTACACAAAAAAATTGGCCAAAAAAAAATGTCCTACCTTTCTACCCTATTTTCAAATGCCATGTAATCGGAAGCAGAACTTCTTTTTTTTTTGGCCTTTCCACTTTTAGATGTCATGCTTTAAAATACATGTACATTGTAGCTGTGTATATTGGCCAAATGTGGAGAAAAAAAAAGTTGGAAATTTGGCCAACAACAAAAATCCAGGTATGTCGGATTACTGTATGTCGGGGGGGGGGGGGGAGGTGGACTCAATTTACATTTTTCCTTACTTCAACTTTTAAGTACAAGCTACATGTAAAGTCAAGCGCAACACCGTTTGATTCCCATTCCTCCACACTACACAAAGTCCAGATCCTTTACAAACTGTAGGGAACCCACTTAAAAATCACTTCCTTGTTTTAAGGTTGACGGGACATTTTGCATTAGGCCAAAAAAAATAATAGTTCTGCTTCCGGTTTCCCTACCTACCCTATTCTGACAGCCCCTACCCTAATTTTTTTTATGGGAAAAATGAGGGAAAAAAACACCCCAAAACCATCAATTCCTACCTTTTACCCTTGACTACGCACAGACGCCTCCATATGATCGTACACAAAATAAATTGGCCAAAAAAAATAATTTCCCTACCTACCTACCCTATTTTCAAATGCCATGTGATCGGAAGCAGAACTATTTGGGGGGGGGGGGCCTTAATAGTATGTTAATCGATAAGTGTTATTAAAAAAAATTGAAGCATGCAGTTGGACAATGTAAAGAAAAACAACGACGTAATTCCACAAGTAATCCAAAATTAACAATATACTTTTATTTCTTCTACCAAAAAAATTCACTACTTCCTTTGTAAGTTGACTACAACGCAAGATCATGAGTGAACTTTTTGTTTACAATGTAAATGTCGACAAGACCTTGATCATTTTTAAAAGGAAAAGAATGAAATCCCAATTTCGTTGCAACAAACTCCCCCGTTTTTGCCCTACTATACTGCCAATGTTCTTATACACTGATTTTGGATCAGTTATTTCCCCCATATCAATATTTCTGATTGACCAAGGATTTATACATAGGCCTATAGCTTGATAGTTAAATTATGAAATTAATTTGTTCCCAAGGCAAACAACTCAGCAGATTTAGGTTAAACACATCCCCAGCATCAAACGTCACTTCGTGAAACTTTAATTTTTATTTTTCATGCACACACACAGCAACATTTTCCAATAGGTCACTTCCTGGGACCAAAAAACGTTGATTTCTTCGTTGCTGAGAGCGACCTATCTCGTATACGCATGCACGTCGAAGATCCAGACGACGTCCTTGCCAAAGTATAGTAGTTAATTTTGAACAAAATTGTTTCAAAGTGTGAAATTCAATGACCAATTTTATTTGAAAAAATACAAAAAAGTTGCTAATATTTTAATTGATATAAATGTGGTAATCATAACCATATTTAAAAACTGCTGAAGAAACTTCTCAATGCATTTTTATTGAAACAACCATTTGAGCCACTTCGTGGGATCAGGACGAAGCGGCAACGAGGTTTAACAAAGTGACTTATCCAAACTGTGTCGCTTCGTGAAAAACAAATTTCCACTTTCTGTGATCTGTCAATTTTTTTTAATTTCCAAAATCTTGCAAAAAAAACAGATAAAAAAAAAATTTCCACTTTGTGTGATCTGTCCATTTTTTTTTATTTCCAAAATCTTGCAAAAACCAGATAATTATAATTTTTTCTTAATATTTAGAAAGACAGTAGGCCTAGCACAAAGAACATAATTCCATCAACCACTGAATTTAGCGAAAAATTCAGATAGGCCGGTTGGGCTCAGCGACGATTTATTATCGACTCAGGCAGAACACAATGACAATGTAAATTATGACAAAATTAACATAGAAAAAAAATATTTTAAAAATAAAATAAACAAATTGTAAGCTGATTTTAAAGGAGTTCATTTATAATCAGCACCAGCGTGTGTGAAGCTATCAAAAGGTAATATCAATAATTGAGTAAGCACTTAGCATTCACAAGCAAACAATGCACAGTGAATCATCCTTTCCTATAAATCCATTCTCATCCATCCTGACCTGTCATTTTAATCTCAATAAAAATCGGTCACTCCCTTTTCGGAACCCTCAGATACAATGAACATTTTAAAACCAAAACAAAAAACTTCAGCTCTAACTTCAGTTTTCCACAGAATCAGTTTGACTTTTCAGGAAACACATTCAACAAAGTGAAATTTCAAGTCCTTTTCGTGAGGTGGTTCAGCTGTCTTTCAGTTTCACCGACTGGTTTTCACAGGCAGCTTTGCACACAAAAGTAAAAACCAGTCTTCAAATCAGACAAAACACACCGCCGATTGCCTTTCATACTTTACTAGAAAAAGAAACAACTTACCTAGGATGTGATCTGCAGTAATGGGTATCAAATCCATAAATATGAAAGGTTTTTGCGCCTCCTGATCGATTTCAGGCGATTTTTCGACAAATGTATTCAACTCCAACAACAGGTGGCTTCAGCAATTTTCTGTGCAAGTGCAAGTTATGTCAACCGCCAATCCGATGGTGCGCGGTCGTGTGTCACAAATTCAGCATCGCTTGTGCGATGCGACGTCTAGGCACCAGCTGGCCCTAGCGATCGAAAGCGTCTCCTCATTTGCATAATTGAGTGGGAGGGCGCTGTTTATATACAGCGGTCTTGACACTTTCACTTGCGCGCTATTGAACCTAATGTTATCCGTTTTGTAGCTTCGTGATCTTGTGATATAGTGTGCCCCTTTCAAGTTCACAAGTGTTTTTGCATTTAATTTGAGCTTCATTAGTATTTATCCTGATCTCCTATTTCATTTTCCATTCTAATGCCGCGTTTTGCAGAAGAATTGAGCATTGAATGAACTAAGAAAACATTGCCAGCTGCACTGCAAGAGCATGGGAAGTGCAGTTCAGTCCACGGTCCATTTTTCTTTAGTTTTTCTTCTTTTTTCATCAAAAGTATAAACATCGCTAGTGTTAATTTTTACCCACAAATAAATGGACAAGGCAAAGCAGACACGTCTGTCTTCTACCAAGATCTCAAAGTGTCTACCTTTAAGCTATAGTCCACCATTTGCAGCCATCCAAAAAGTAACTGGCGTAATTATTGTTGAAAAACAAACTTGGTTGAAAGATAGTAAGGGAACTAAATTCCCTGTGAAATTATTCTTTCTGGGAAGCTGTCTTTTTTAAATCACCGAAAGAAGGCCTTTCCAACGGTGCGTCTTAAGACACACCGTAGGAAAATTTAAATTAGTAGTTCGTTTTGTTATTCGGCGAAGCGCGCGCAAGCATTGGCACGACGCACACGCGCGCGGTTGTTATAATTCGTCGGATCAGTGCGTGACGTCGCGTATAGCTGCAATTCAAAACAATTCAAAAATGATTCAGTAACTTTTGATTTGAAATTGAGATCCTAGAATGCTGTTTTTCTCGGAATATACAGCTGAAGCTTAGCTGAGACTTCATCAGGTTAGTTGTTTAGTATCCTTCATTAGATTTTGAACACTTTTGTTGCTTCAAACGAAGAAAATGCACAAATTACAAATGATGGACTATATCTTTAATTCAATCTCATCTGACACCCCCAAATATGTTCTGCCAGTTAATGGTTAGGTCGGGAATCGTGCCGTGACCGACTGGTCCAAAGCACCAAACTTACCGGATGGATTCTTAATTTCTTATAGCCCTAAAGAAGACACTCAGAAGGGGTGACACCTGAAATTCTTTTGGGAAGCCCTAATTTGCATAAGTCGTAAACAGCCTCTGTGTCATTTCCATCATAATGATTTTTCTTTTGTGTGAAGTAGATTTTGGGGATTCTTCTTGCATGATATCACATTTTCTAAAGCGTAAAAGGGAATGGATAATTATGATGGCATTATTACGGTTTGCAAATTAGGCACCCCTCCCAAAAGAATTTCAGGTGTCATCCCTTCTAGAAATGTTCTTTAGGGCTATAAGGCAGGGAGTTTAAAAAAAAAGAAGAAAAAAGAGACGAAACCCAGATGTAAATGTAAATTATAAATAATCTAATAAATATTTTCAAATCATGTGAGACATCCATGTGGTCTTCTTTCTAATGATACCTTGATTGTGTGTCCGTGGCCACGGATGACTGAGCATTCCTTGTTATTCTGTCTAGGGTCAAAATCAGTGCCACGTGACTCTATTATTGCTGAAAAGAACCTACAGCACAAACGGAGTAACATTAAAAGACCCATGGATGATATAGTTAGCGCTATTGGAAGAAACTTTTGAGACTTTACCATTTTTCAAAAGTTCTTTTCTCTTTAATTTAGTGGAGACATATCTACAGCCACATAGGCGTGGCCAGCGGGGGGAGGGCGTAAGGGGGTATTTACCCCCTCCCCCTAATAATTCAAATGCTTTTTTTTTCCAATTGTTGCCGACATTGCAGATCTTTAAGTGGAGATAGGCTGGAGACTGGTTTTTCACTCTCAAAGTATCATTTTCCCAATCGCTCCGTATCGTAATCTAAAAGTGCCAAACATATTGATCAGCAAAATGTTAGGTCCCGAATTCATTTTAGTAATATTGGAGGAAAACTGGCACCGATAATTCAGTCATATTTTTTTTTTTTTAATGATGTATTAATATACCTCCAGAAATTTAATCTAACGGTTTAGGCGGCCAGCTTTAAAGTGGAAAACTCTGAATTATTTTCAAAGATTCGCCATGATATTAAACAGTAGGGATGTAACAGGCGCAATAGTCATTTTTTAAAGTTGCTTTGATATTTGAAAAAAAAGTGCAAAATGGGTGCAGGGGGTTGATGCTTCGCAGACGAAATGTAGCTGCTCTCTGATGATCTTACTCCAACCACACTCCAATCTGCGAAGCAATCAACATTTACATTACAATACTACGCTATTTACATATAATTTACATATCTACATAAATTACTTAATAATTAACCCTACACCCAACTAACCTAACTAACTAGGCCTACACTACTGGATTCGAACCCGCGCTGGTGACCTGATGGGCTGGTCACTGTCCTGGACTTATACTACTATAGAAAATTGGGCCTGATAACTATGACATTGCCCTCATTTTTAAATTTGGCTGAAACACGGCAAAAATTGTAATTCAACGGTGCCCATTTTGCTGTGCAAAAACAGTCTGACTACTCAAAATACACAATTTCTGAATTAAAAACGAGAAATATTTTTTTTTCGTTGCGCAATAGTCAAAATGTTAGCAATGAATAGTCAAAATGTTAACAATGATCGCAAAAATCGGAAAGGGACGAATTGGAAGTACGAATTCGATTTGACGTATTCCGAATGATGTTTTGATTTTTAAGGATCCAGATTATTGCAGTCGAATGAAATTTGGCGTCAATTACAATGAGCATTAAGTTTAAATTTGTGAACAAGGATGCACTCTCATAAAATCACGGGAAATCCCGTCAATGGGAACGTGATTTCAGAATATAACTGTTGTGACCGTTTTCGTCAAATTTTGCCAATTGAAATTTGTCGTCTTACATTACAGGCATTGGATATTTAATAAAATCCAAGATTTGTGTGAAATTTTCAGTCCTAACTTTGTGTGAAATTTTCAGTCCTAACTTTGTGTGAAATTTTCAGTCCTAACTAAACCTCGCGCCAAAATGTTAACAATAAAATACTCAAAATGTTAACAATGATCGCAAAATCGGCTACGGACAAATCGGAAGTACGAATTCGATTTGGCGTAATCCGAATGATGTTTTGATTTTTAAGGATCCAGATTATTGCAGTCGATTGAAATGTGGCGTCATTGAAAATGAGCTTTAAGTTTACATTAATTTTGTGAACAAGGATGCATTCTCATACAATCCCGAGAAATCCCGTCAATGGGAACGTGATTTTATAATATATTGAAGTTGCGAACGTTTTCGTCATAGTTTGCTACATTGAAAATTGTCGTCTTACATTTCAGGCATTGGATATTAGTTGGACTCGGAATTAGTTGCCATGAACCAATGATAAAATCCCCCCCCCCCCCCTCGGTCGATAATGCTGTTCCATTCTTTCGGCTATTTTCAGGGGGGATCTTACTTTCAGAAAACCGGGACGAGGTGAAATAAAGGGAGTTGGGGGATTGAGTCCATAGTTGGTGGTGGGGGTTCTCATGGGCATCACCTCTCCCCCCCCCCCCCCCCCAACACTTTACGACGATTTCTCCTACATTTTAATTTGAAAACTTAATAGAAGTATGGTATCCATTCTGATTTTGGCCAAATTTACATCTTTCAAAACATTAGTCAGCGGTTGGGGGGGGGGGGTCCCGCTACTGATCTTGTTTATTATTATAAGGCCCCCAATTATTGCCGACATTGCAGATCATTGAGTGGAGATAGGCTGGAGACTGTTTTTTTTTTCACTCTCAAAGTATCATTTTCCCAATCGCTCCGTATCGTAATGTAAAAGTGCCAAACATATTTATCAGCGAAATGTTAGGTCCCGTATTGCTATTAAACGTATTTTACCCACGCGCCGTGAGGTTTTGTCAACTATATTCAATTTTTAAAGCCAATTGCCGAACAGAAGTCGATATTTTGGGCGATAATGAGCCACCTTTTTTTCATTTGTTTGGTCAATATACGCGCAGGCCTCTGCCTATTCGTGTACTAGCATACTTACGTTACGCAACAATGAACACTAATAATGTAGGCTTCTTTTTTTAAAAATGCATCGGGTGCGTTCAGGGGCGGATCCAGGAATTTTTGCGGGGGCGTCAGATGTTTATATCCGATTGTTGAGGACAGGCAGGCCCTATCATTGTTATATTTTATTAACAATTATACACTTTTCTTGTGAAGCCCGGTTCATACTCGGCGCGAAAGCGAACGCGAATTTGTGACGTCGTGGCAAGTATTCGCGCTGCGAATTCGTAAAAGTTGAACATATTTCAACTGGGGCGAATTTCGCAGCGAATGTTTTATAACGTCAAATTCGCTTCGCTTTCGCATGAAGTATGAACCCTTAGTCAGACTGGTGGCCGTGGGGGATGTTTCGTCCCCCTCTGGATCCGCGCCTGACTTCTGCTCTTTGTATTTCGACAGATTAGATACAGATTCTCAACTCCGTCACTATTTCAACATTATCGGGGACGTCTTGAGGAATCTGGAGGAATCCTTGGTTTCCTTACCAGAAAGGAATAAAATAAATAAATATAAATAAGTAAATATGAAATAGGGATCATTTTGGGAGTTCTGGCATAATCTGATGTTTCGACAGTAGTCTGGCTTGGATGGTTTGGAATGTACAATGTATTTCGTTTTAGGTCATAAAGATGGAAACAGAGGGCGCTATTTAGGACACCGCGCAAAAAAATTATGTCTGGTTCCTCCTCTGCAGTCATGAAATATTAGTGATAGGAGGCATATGTGCACAGACTACTGGGTGTAAGTGCAGAGATTTAGTGTAATAAATTACGGAAGCGTTTTTGGAGAAGGCGGCGTTCACAAAAACAAGTAAGCCTTTAGTTAATAAGCCTTCATCTTTTTGTAAGCCTTCATCCTTTGAAGTATTCTTAGAGTATCATGGCACAGTCGCATCAGGACGAGAGCGATGGGATTTTCCTGGAAAACGAACTACCCTCGTCGAAGGATGAAGCCGACTACTCGCTTTCGGTTGTGAATTTGACGCGGGCGGCGGACATTCCGCTGCGGTACTTCCTGCCGAAGATATTCTCGCCCATGGAGGCGAGCATGACCAGGAGTTGTCAGCGAGTGTCGGAGAAGTCCCCCAAGTATAGATTGGTAAGTTGATGGGTTTCTGCGGCTGTATGACTTTTTTTACATCCCAAAAATTGGTCTTGATTTTCATTTTTGTTTGGTTGTTTTGTTAGAAAGAATGTTACAACCTGCGGTTGTGTACAAAGTCTATGGAGAGTCCAGAATATTTTCAAAGTATTTCCTAACAAAATTGGAAATGTAGAAAAATTTCCGTACTGGGCCACCACTTTTTCAATTAATTTTCAAGCGCCAAAAGTTGCATCCTTTATGTTTATTCCCTCCACTTTCCCTCCTCTACTCTCACCCTCTCCTTTCCTTTATTCCTATTTATTAATCTAAGAATACGCTCAAGAAGCGTTTCTATGCCCATCGGTCAACGGTCAACACCAAGAAACTAGACACCCCTGTTGGTCATCACTTCAACCTGCCTAACCACTCCATTTCTGATATGATTTTGCAGGGCATTGAATCTCTTGGCCATCGCAAAGAGTCAGTTCGCCTCAGCAGAGAGAAGGTGTGGATGAATCGTCTTCGAACTATTCAACCACATGGTCTCAACATCCAACTTGGAAATGATTAATCCTTTTCTTCCTCCATTGTCCTCTGTTACAGATAATCCATCTGGTCTTCCTTGTTTGTGTTAACACATCTCCCGCCATCTTTCATCCCTTTCCACCTCTATACTGTCCCCCCCCCCCCCCCCCCGCATCATCCCTTCACTCTCACACTCTTTTGTCCGTTCCCACTCCCTGTGACCTTTGATCCTTCCCCTTTCTGGTCCCTCCCCTGTTTACACCAGACCCCTTGTGGTTTGCCATCTCCCTTTGTTTCTTTGTTCTCTCATCCACCCTCCCCTGCATCTTTCCACACCTTTCCCTCCTAATCCTCCTTTTGTGTTTCTTCTTTCAGCCCTGCATGTTTGTGTGCACCCCCATGTTAATGTATGTATCTCTGTCATTTCTGTTTTAGCCTCTGAAGAAGAACTTGCTAAGTTCGCAACGTCAGGCCACATTATTTTAAGATTTATATATTTCAGGTCCATCCAGTCAGTAAGCAGTTTGCAGCAGTTTTACTTTTTTTCATGTTTCAACTTCTCTGTTGCAGTATCCCTTCGTGGTGATCCTCCTTGCTGTCATGTAAGTTTCATTGTGTTTTGTTTTGTTCCTTCTTTGGATCGTTTTATATCATGTACTAATCAAACTGTTCTCTCCACACTACAGGTACCTACAATTTTGTTTTGCTCTGTCCCTTCAAAAGGCATGAGCAACTCCATTTGACTTGTACTTTTTGTCTTCGTGTTCCTCCACTGATTTATTGTATTAACCATTTATTCTCTCCCTTTCTACAGATATGAGTGACACCATTTGCACTTTCCAACAGCTCAGAAAGGCAAAGGAAAAGGCCTTACGCTTTTCCTACCATCAGGATAACTACAGTTTTTACTCCCTCTCTCGATTTATCCCCAAAGGTTTGCAACTGTCTCACACTCCCTGCTTAGGAAACCTCCCACCACACCTTCAAAGGAGATGGAATCAAGTTCTACATGGTGCCTCTATTAAACTCATCAATATTCTCTCTCAGCAGTGTCAATTTACACGTGAGGACCTCCATCAGAATATTTCCCACCTTGACTCCCAACTCAAATCCAGTTGTTCTGACTCCACGTACAGGAATTTCCATGATGAGATTGAAAGGGGTTTGTCTAACCTTGACTCTGTCCTACTCAACAGGAGAAACAAGAAGATTGGTGGCTTGCTTGCCAAGCAACAGCAACGCAGACACAGACGTTTCAGACGTCCTAGGTCCCCATCTACCACGCCACCGCCAGAACCCCCTGTCAACACTGTAGTTAATCTTTCTTCCTCATCAATATCTGACGCAGAGCACAAACTTCTCTCCAAGGGTCTCAATTTTTGTCCCGCTCCCCGTTCTGTGAACCAGGTTCAGCTCAGCCAAGATCTCACGGAATACTACCGTAGAATCCGCCTGCGTGAGTTTTTCCTGGACAGTGAACCGTGTGAGCCAGAGCCTTTTCGAGTCAAGAGTTCATGGGTACCCCCCAAGAATCGTGTGCCAGCCATAGAGACATATGTTCAAGTTATCAATTCCCAAGTCACTAACCCGGACAACTTCCCCCACAGGACTCATGATAATCTCCCCAGAGAGGAGCGCCTGGCTCTCAACTCCTTGCGCTCTCGCACCGACATCATCATCAAGCCAGCAGATAAAGGTTCAGCTGTGGTCATCATGGATCGTCAGCAGTACATTGATGAGGCCCACCGCCAGTTGGATAATCGCACTAACTATACCCGCCTTGACTCTGACCCCACAGGCACTTTCTGTCAAGATATACAACAGGTACTTGACGATATGCGATCACGTGACCAGTTGTCGAAGAAAGCTCACAAATTTCTTTCTCCCTGTGATTGTAGGACTGCCAGATTTTACCTGCTACCCAAGATTCACAAGGCTGGCAACCCCGGTAGACCCATCATCTCCGGTAATGGCTCACCCACGGAACGCATCTCCCTGTTCATTGACAGTTTTCTCAAACCCCTTGTCCCACAGATTTCGTCATACATTCACGACACCCCAGACTTCCTACGCAAGCTTGAAGGAATCAAGGACCAGATTCCCAGCACAGCCATCATTGGGACTTTCGACGTCTCATCTCTGTACACCAACATCCCACATGAGGAGGGAGTTCGTGCTTGCTCCTTGGCTCTGGCCAAGGCAGGACACACGACTCCTCCCATCAGTGATGTTGGCACCCTCATGAGACTTATACTAACGAAGAACAATTTTTCCTTCCTTGGTGAACACTATCTACAGGTACACGGCACTGCAATGGGCACTCGCATGGCCCCGTCGATGGCTTGCCTCTTCATGGGTGACCTCGAAGAACGCATTCTTGCCTCGGCCCCATGTCGCCCTTGGATCTGGTGGAGATATATTGATGATGTTTTCTTCATCTGGACCAGTGATGAGGACAGTCTCTTGACCTTCACTAACCACATCAATTCCTTCCACAGAACCATCAAATTCACATCGGAGTTCTCGGCTCACCAAACCCACTTTCTGGATGTCACCGTCCGCAAGCAAGGCAACTCACTAACCACTGACCTGTATTCCAAACCCACAGACACCCACCAGTACCTCCACTCCTCCAGCTGTCACCCCAGGCACTGCAAAACTGGCATAGCGTCTAGCCAGGCACTCAGACTCAGAAGAATTTGTTCTAATGATTCCGATTTCTCCCGCCATACACAGATACTGATGAACAACTTGGTGGCCAGGGGTCACAGCTCTCGCCAAGTTCATCGTGCCATTGCCAGAGCTAAATCTATCCCCAGAAATCAAGCTCTCACGGGAAAGGCCCCTGATGCCATGGCCAAACCCATGATTCCCTTGGTTACCACGTTTCACCCCAATCTCCCTCCCCTCCGCAAAATCACTAATGACAATCATCATATCCTCCATACTTCAGATCGCCTTGCCCGCGCCATCCCCAACGGCCCCACATTGGCTTACAGGCGTCCTCGAAATCTACGGGACTTGATTGTTCGAGCTGAAGTCCCATCCTTAGATGCATCCCCTCCCACCCAGCATGGTACTTTCAAGTGCAGTTCCAGATGTGTTGTCTGCCAGATTCATATCCAGGAGTCTGACTCCTTTTCTGGCCACTCTTCTGTCACTACCCACAGAACCATTGGTAACATCACTTGTAACACCTCTAATGTCATATATCTCATTTCTTGCAGGGTCTGTGGAGTGCAGTATGTAGGTGAGACTAAGAATACGCTCAAGAAGCGTTTCTATGCCCATCGGTCAACGGTCAACACCAAGAAACTAGACACCCCTGTTGGTCATCACTTCAACCTGCCTAACCACTCCATTTCTGATATGATTTTGCAGGGCATTGAATCTCTTGGCCATCGCAAAGAGTCAGTTCGCCTCAGCAGAGAGAAGGTGTGGATGAATCGTCTTCGAACTATTCAACCACATGGTCTCAACATCCAACTTGGAAATGATTAATCCTTTTCTTCCTCCATTGTCCTCTGTTACAGATAATCCATCTGGTCTTCCTTGTTTGTGTTAACACATCTCCCGCCATCTTTCATCCCTTTCCACCTCTATACTGTCCCCCCCCCCCCCCCCCCGCATCATCCCTTCACTCTCACACTCTTTTGTCCGTTCCCACTCCCTGTGACCTTTGATCCTTCCCCTTTCTGGTCCCTCCCCTGTTTACACCAGACCCCTTGTGGTTTGCCATCTCCCTTTGTTTCTTTGTTCTCTCATCCACCCTCCCCTGCATCTTTCCACACCTTTCCCTCCTAATCCTCCTTTTGTGTTTCTTCTTTCAGCCCTGCATGTTTGTGTGCACCCCCATGTTAATGTATGTATCTCTGTCATTTCTGTTTTAGCCTCTGAAGAAGAACTTGCTAAGTTCGCAACGTCAGGCCACATTAATTTTAAGATTTATTTATTAATCAGTCAGTTACTTCATCGAGATTTGAACCCCGGACTCTTGCTTGAAACACGAGACTCTTAACCGCTAGGCCGCGCACGATCGCTGTTGCAATAATCTTTGGACTTATTTGAAGTACCATTGAAATAAACTAAATATTCATGAGAAAATAAATATTCATAATGACGTATTGCACTATCATTGGCCGGCTCAAGCGTTGTCATGGTTGTCAATGTCATGCGTATAACGTACCGCTGTCTTCCAGACACTTCAATCAGTTTTGACTGGCTGCTTCAACCATGTTCTGCAGACGTGTGCATCCAAAATGTGCTCTAAAAACACATTTTGCCTAATTTGTTTTCGCATTTACACAGCTTCCTGGATTCCTCGTGAGGTGAAAATTGATGTGTTTGGCGGCAGGTAAAGTGATGGCCCAATATGGAATTTTTTCGGAAATGTTTCTCACTCAGTCCCAGATTCATGTCTTATCGTCATTTTTGCAAGGACTGACCTTCATTGAGATGGAGGAAAAGTCATGGAATCTCATTTTAAGATT